TGTTATTTTTTTTATCTTTTTTGAAAATGCATTTTCATTGATATAAAAATTATTGTATGAGCGTTTAAGGTACACTGGCAAATGCGACCCGAAAAGTAAAGATTTAATAGCTTGGTTTGAGAAAAAGAAGTTATTGAAGCGACTCACGGCCTGGGGTGAAATGATTGTAAATTAACCTAGTCGTGGTGAGAAGTTTTCTTTTGTTTTTCAAAAATAAAATTTCTTTTTTGGTATGGAAAAGTTTTTGTGATGATTTTTTTGACATAAAGTATGTAAATGTCGACTGCTTTTTAAATGATGGTTTGGATTTGTTGATTTTAGGTGTCAGTCAGTAATTATTTTGATTTAGAAGAAAGGTGTTGCTCAGTATAACGCGACGTGGTTCGTTTCTTTCTATGATTCTGTCTTTTTCATTTGAATCTTTGTTCTGTAAAATAGTTATCTTCTTTAAGAGATTAAACTATTAAGATAAGTAATTATTGGGAGAAGAAAAACATTTCCAAGTTTTTTACGACTGCTTAATTACAGATGTATTGAGGCATTTTTAGTTGTCTCGTTACTTTAGTATATTTATTTGTCATTTCCAGCTTTTTATGTATTTAAGTTTAGTGCAGTCAATGATGTTTGTTTTGGACTTCTTTATGAGTGCATCGTTATTCTCTTATTTTGTTGTTCGTGAATGTTTTGGAATTCTTTACATGTATGTGTTCATGTGTTTGTATATGTTTTTGAAAAGGGTCTTTTTGTTGTTACAGTTTTGAGCTTAATTGAAAATTTTAATATTTAAAGAAAATTAAGAGGAGAAAAAATAGGGTATAAAACTAATTTTTCTTCTAAAGACATGTTTTCTTGTTTTTTATCATTGATTTTTTCCTTCTTTTCTGTCACTTTTATACCTGTCTCTTTTTATACGTATAGTATTGTTTTGCATTAAGCGACGACCAATGCAATCAGGTGAAAGTTTTTCAGCCGAGTAATTAGTTATTGTAGTCAAATTAAGTCTTCATTTGTTGGTTTTTTTCTTTTTTTGAATTGTTGTTGCACTTTTTTCTCTATCATTTATTACATTTGTGACTCTCAGAGTTTTTTGTGTTTTTACAGACTGTGAATTTCCTTAAGCATAATTTATTTAAAGAAGCTAGATTTTTATCTATATTTACGGATCAGTTCATCGGTGACAAAGGGAGAAAAGTGATATATTTTCTCCTTTTATATTTTTTTGTACGAGGCATGAAAAAATTTTTAGTTATATTTGTCGTTACTGGATAATGGTGTAGAAAGACTATCAGCCGTTTTGTTGGATGAAAATTTTTGATGATGAGATAAGAAGGGGAAAATTTAAAAGACGACAAAAAATTAGCGGTGATTTAGTTTTTCTGTCTTTTTATTAACCTCTCACTTACTGATCTCATTTCGGTATTTTACATCTTGCATTCTCTATACCTTAACCCTTTTTTTGCCTTTCCAATTTTTGTATATTTTGCATAAAGTACAGTAGCTGCTTATTATGTACATTTCTGGCGCAGTGTATTTTGATAATTGAGATTTTGGGAACTAAAATCTTTGTCCAGATTAAAACAGATCTGAACAGTCTTGTTACATATCTTACATGTTTTTTGGTGAAAGCACATTTGCATAGTGGTCGCTGTCAATTGGTTATTTTTGATTGGACGACCTTAAAAATGGGTTAGAAAGTTCAAAATAAAATGGTTTGAAAAAGGGAAGAAAATGCAGTGATTAAAAGCGAATGAAACATGTATTTATTCAATGTCTTATAACAGCCTCTTGTCCTTTCTGTTTTGATTTTTCTAATCACATATCTGTTGGTTTATGACCTTTGGAATTTTTCTTCTTTTTGTTTTTGTCTAGTCTCAATTGTAGTAAATCTGTCATTTATTTTATTGTTTTTGTTCTTCGTTTTGTTTTGCATTTTTTTTTTTATTTTTGCTTTATACACATTGTTTGATGTGAAGTGACGTTGTATGGTTAAGTAAAGGGTTTATTTTCATGGTAACGTGCTTTGTACCTGACTATTGAAAGAAGTATTATTCATATACTTATCAACGAAGTCAGTAAACTGTTGCTACATAACATGGAATCAGAAAAAAGAAGTTATGAAAGTAGAGAAAACTCTATTTTTTTTTTATAAGAGAGATGTTTGTTTGTGCAGGAAGATATTTTGAATGGAACAACTGGGTGTCTTAAAAATGGTTAGATCTAAAAGTGATAGTGACTAACAGTGCTTTGAGTGAGAGGACCTGACTTGTAGTTTGGTAGTATATTTTGAGTAGTTTAAACAGCTGGGGAGCTAATAAATTGTTGTAGTCATTTGGCTGGATGTCATCTTATGACCGTAAATGACTTTGCAATTTCATCGTTAGTCGATGCGGATTTAAAATTGGGTCAGATTTGAAACTTCGGGAGTTCTACACTGCTAGTAAAATGACGGGTCCTCTCTATAATGTTTTATGAGTTTGGTTTGTTTTGTCATTTTGGTAGAGTGCGGGTCACCTAGTAAAGCTTTTTTGAGCCGAGGAATGTGGATTTTGTTTACGAGGGTTTGTCATTTTTATTTTTTCGATTGAGAAGCATCTTCATTGCTACAGAGTGTTAAATTAATTGCAGGACGGTGAGGTCTGTAGCATTTTAACATCTTTCATTTGTTTGCGCCGTAATGACACTATAAAGATTGATTGGATAGATTAGCTTAATTTAAGAGTTAAAGATTTTGTAATTAAGGATATATTGGAGAAAAAATATTTTACTTATTAAGCTGTTTTGTTTAACAGGAGTCTTTATGGTATTAGCAAAACTGTTGCACTGAACTATTTCTTCATTTATTTCTTTTACCATCTTTAACACAAAAAATTTTTGTCAGGTCACAGGTAAGTTTAATTTTAATTCACCAAATCTGTTGCACTAGTTAAAGCCGTTGTTATGTTGCCAATTTGGAAGGCTAAAAATTTTTGCAGATTGACAGCTTGCTTTGAGCTACTAACATAAAGAACGAGATTTTGGAAGGGTGCGAACAAGTTTCAATTTTACAGTCTTCTTAAAGAATAAAGTTTTCTAGCTAGCCTCTAAAAATGTTTGTAACTTTTGTTTTTTTTATTTTTTTTGCTGTACCAGTCTAGTTCGGCAGTATTATGGTTTTTCTAATAATCTGAATTTTAAGGAAAAAAGTCATTGCATGAGTAATGTGGAATTGTGCACCATACTTTTTAATTTTTCGACATTCGATACAGTAACATTTTTCTGACGGAAGTGTCTTTATCTTACGAAGCAATCTGTAAACAGGCAGTATAGAGGAAAACTAAACAACTTAGAGTACTGTCGTTCAAACAGACGGTGTACTAGCGCCTTGTTCTGTTGCTTCAACTGTTGATTTTGTTCCATGAGGTAGAGCTCTATGTTTTGGAGGATCCTAACAGTCTACAGTGGAAGTTTTTCTGATCCATGAAAGCAGCGCTTTTCTAGTGTTTTTTTTTTTTTTTTTTTTTTTTTTTTTT